AAAAAAAAAATGAATAAACTAATTGATTATTATTTATAAGACATTTGTAGGATTCTTCTTTTTTTTTATTATCTTCCATCTGTTTTGTCATCCTTCCATATCGTTTATCATCCATTTTTATAAAGATATAATATAATAATTCATAATGATAAATTTTTCATTCTCTACCTTTCCTTTTCGTTATTTTTTTTTGTTATTGTTTGACTAGTTTATTCACTACATCTATGTTCCGTGATTGGCCAGTGTTTTTTTTAATATTTCATCAACAAAATTTTAATGAAAATTTTTGTAAAGAAAAATGTTATTTGAAATTATTTCAGAAATCTCTAGCTAACTATATATTATTATATTTTTTTTATATATTTTTATATTATTTTATATTTTTGAGACAATCTGCATATAAAATTGATTTTTTCATTTTTATCATATTTATATTTCATCTTTAGTTGTATGTAAAATAACCAAAATGATAAAAAAATGGATAAATTAATTTTTGATTAGTGATATCATTTTTTTCGGGAAATATTGAAATTTTTTTTAGGCATAATTACGATAATAAAATAAATTGTTGAAATAAAATTTTGTTTTTAAATTAGATCAACTTATACGATAAATTATATATAACCATAAATAATATCTCTCGATTATCATTAATTCATGCAAGTATGATAGATACAACATTAAATAAGAAAACAAAGAATAAAAGAACATTTATTAATAAATTATAATGTATTTTATATTTTTATTATGAATAAGAATCATGATATTTATATAAAAATTTTTAAATTTAATAAATATACATTCGAGCTATATAATATTTATAGAATATTTATATAATATTTATATAATATAATATAATATATATATAATATAATATATTAATATAATATTTATAGAATAATAATTTTGGTTTTAATATTCAAAAAATTCGCGGGAAAAGATTCAGATTTCAATCAGAGTTCTCTAGTATCTAATACTTAATTTGAGAAAATGTCGTCTCTTGAAGCAGGTCCAAGACCAGTGCAAGTATCCCCTTTAATTAAAGTGAGTATCATTTATTATAATGCAGTTTTAAAAAATATTTATATTGGAATATTATAAAGTACTATTATTTGCAATGCTTTGTTGAGATTTTCTTTCGTTACAAAAATGAATAATTCTGAAGAAGTAAATTCTTCTAAATTCATTATATTACATAATTTTTATTAGAATATTAAATAACTAAATTTCTTAAATATTAACCTAAATATATGTAAAAGTTATATTTTATTTATTCTATATATAGTTCAACATTTAATGATAAATTAATAAAAAATTGGTTTCATTTTTTAACCTCTTTAATAGAACTAAATGAATATAATTAAATATATTTTGTTAAATGAATTAAATAAATATTAAATAAATATTTTTTTCTTTTTTTCAATTATTTATTTACATATTTACTAATATATTTCATATATAAACATTTAGAAATATGTCTTATGAAATTATATTATTGAATTTTTTATAGTTTTCTCGATGGAGTCTCTTGTTAACTGGAATTCTATATGGTGCTTATCATCAAAAAAGATTTACTAGAAAAGAAAATGCTCTTCGTGAACAAGAACTTAAAGAAAAACCTATTAGGGATGCAAAATTAGCAGAAGAAAAAAAGAAGCTATTAGAAGGTAAAAAATAAATTTAATCATAATTGCAAATTAATAACTTTAATTATAATTATAATTTTTTTGTTTTAGCTGAAGCAAAAATGATAGAAGAATGGTCAGGAATAAAAAAATAAAAAATAATACATTTTAGTAGTATAAATATGTATTTTTTTTAAATTAATATTATTTTATATCTTTAAAAAAATCATTATGTCAATTTTGGTTTATTATAATAAATGTTAAATATAAACTTCTTATTGTATATATATATATACATATATATATATTAAATAAAATAATTTATATGGTAGACTGTAATTATATCTTTAATTTTATATTTCTTTATATTTATTTTCATATATATAAAATTAAATAATTACATTTCAATAG